TTTCGAGTCTTGGCGAGACTTGTTTAATTTAAAAATTTCAATGGCTCAGCTCATTGCTGACGATATATCATATCGTAGCCCTTTTAGTCGTTGTTCGAACGTCATTATAGAATTTTGAAAAACCGATTTAGAATTTTTAGTTTATTTTTGAGCGCATAAAGCGAGCGATCAGGCCTCTAGTTGGCTTTTTATTAAGCAAAAACAACGGCACCAAAGAGGTTCTACAAAGAGTATACCAAAGAGTTTCTAACATTTGAAGAAACCTTGACTTTTTTAACACGATGCTTTAGAACCAAGATCTATGTGAAGTTTTATGAAGAACCTTTGTAAATTAATGATTTATCGCCATTTAGATTAATTTATTGTAAAAATCCTGACGAAGCACATTTGGAGTTCTGTAATCAAGCCTGGTACCCGCGATTAAAAAAAAATTCAAAATTAATCGAAAAGGTGCAACAACGAGCGACCAGAATGTACCAGGGCACAGACACTAAGCTGAAATGAAAGGATATAGAAACTAGACCTACCGTCACTTGAATACCGCAGAAGGCGAGGAACGATGATCGAAACGTTCAAAATAGGTTACAACAGCTAAGACCCAAAAGCTACAAAAAGCCTGTTCGAATTGACATAAGGACAAACGACAGGAAAGTGACAACAAAGAAGGCCAACCTCGAATTGCGGAGAAACTTTTTTTTACCTTTACATCAGCTACAGATTGGAATATATTGCCAAAAGGAGTAATTGACTCGAAGACCTTAAACGCTTTCAAGAACAGCCTGGAAAAATATTGGAAGTAACGATGAATTGATAAAATTGAAAAGGAGTACATCATGAGCTGATCGATAGAGGCGTCAAAAGCGCCTAAAAGATAGGAAAACAACTGAGCTGAACTGATAGTTTTGAAAACGTTTGAAAGTTTTTTAATGTTTTCTGTGTTAGAACCTCTTTGTTACCTTTGTTTTCGATTTATGAAAAACTAATTATAGGCTTGCTCGCTCGCTTCAGAGTAGAAAATTCACTTAAGTTTTCCGAAACTCTATAGTGACGTTCGAATAACGACTAAAAAAAGCGAACCAAGTTGGTTTTTTATAAAAGAAAGATAGGCTTATTCAAGCCCTGAAAATTTGAATTTGCTCTTGTTAAGTAAGTGTTCGAAGTCTTGTAGCGCCATTTTTGAATGTAAAAGATCTGTAAAATTTTTAAAGAGTGGAATTTGCTGAAGTTTTATCTTTTGTTCAATCTTTTTATCAAACCACGCACAAAAAAAACGTCACTCAATTGAAAAAAAAATTTTTTTTTCAAGAATATTTTCAGCTCTTCTTGTTTTTCATCAGATAATTTTTTTTGAACCCTAAGCCGCAGTGCAGTGTCTTTAAACTGTAAGCAGTTTATCAAAAGTCAAGAAATTTATCAAAAATTAGAAACTCTTTGGTATACTTTTTGTGTTAGAACCCTCTTTGGTGCCTTTGTTTTTGATTTTCTAGTGCATGTAATTTTGAAAGAAGCGAAGTGCGAACCACTTATAAGATGCCTGAAAAGATGCCTGATAAGATGCGCACCGCTTAAAACAGTCTACATTTGTAATGAAAAACCGGAAGTCAACCTGAAAGACGATAGTTTCATATCGAAATTATTTAATCCTAAAACAACTGAGCGACAGAAATGGAATATAATAAATGACACAAAAAACTCGAAAAAATCAGCAAACAAAATCACACTACTAAAAAGTTGATTTGGTGAAGCAGTTATAAACCACTTCAAAATTCCAATTTTTTTGAATTACAAGTTTTCTAGACTCGGATGTTTTTTTGAGGAAAAAAATAATAAAAACTAATTCATTGAACCATCAAAAAAACAAGGACCAAAAAAGAACGCAAACAAAGGTACTGTTTTCGGTTTACAAGTGGAATTGAATTTAAAAAAGAAATAACGAATTTAAACGCGAAAAAACCACCCGGACCTTCTGATCTTCCAGTCTGGGCTCTGAAAGATGGATGCAATGAAAGATATCTACACCTTTCATTTCTTATAAATGCATTTTTTAAGTAAAAATTTTTTTCCAACTAGACTCAAAAGAGCGGTTATTATCCCAAAATACAGAAGAGATTACACAGAAATAGCAGAGAAGTATAGACCAATCTCCATAACAGGTGCACTTTCTAACTTTTTGAAGAATTACTTTACAAACAAATCACTGAATACTTCTAAACTATTAAACTGCTCCGCAACACCCAATTTAGTTTTAGAAATTCATATCCAACGATTGACGCCATCTTTGATTGCATTGATTTCTTCCGCAAATCAATGGATGAAAGGAATATGCCGTCTCTTTCTTTCACCCACGAACCCTTAAAGAACAAATTGATTGATTTGGGATTTTCTGAATCAGCAATTGAAATGATTCAAAGTTTTACAAACAAAAGACAGCAGAAAACTGTAGTAAATAAAACTGAATCCAATTGAATCTCATTTCATCAGGGCGTACCTCAAGGTACAATTTTGAGACCCCTAATTTTCAACCTATACATAGATGACTTGAACAAAATGTTAACTGAATCTCTCAATACGCAGATGATAGAGTACATTATGCAGATGATACACTACTATTTTGTGATGATATTGACATCAAAAATGCTCTACAGCTACTGCAAAAATCCTGTCAGAATTTGTCTCTGTACTTCACAAAACTTTCCCTAAAACTCAACACAAATGAAAAACCGGAAGTCAACCTGAAAGACGATAGTTTCATATAGAAATTATTTAATCCTAAAACAACTGAGCGACAGAAATGGAATATAATAAATTACACAAAAAACTCGAAAAAATCAGCAAACAAAATCACACTACTAAAAAGTTCATTTGGTGAAGCAATTATAAACAACTTCAAAATTCCAATTTTTTTGAATTACAAGTTTTCTAGACTCGGATGTTTTTTTGAGGAAAAAAAATAAAAACTAATTCATTGAACCATCAAAAAAAAAACAAACACCAAAAAAGAACGCAAACAAAGGTACTGTTTCCGGTTTACAAGTGGAATTGAATTAAAAAAAAAAATAACGAATTTAAACGCGAAAAAACCACCCGGATTTTCTGATCTTCCAGTCTGGGCTCTGAAAGATGGATGCAATGAAAGAAATCTACACCTTTCATTTCTTATAAATGAATTTATTAAGTAAAAATTTTTTTCCAACTAAACTCAAAAGAGCTGTTATTATCCCAAAATACAGAAGAGATTACACAGAAATAGCAGAGAACTATAGACCAATCTCCATAACAGGTGCACTTTCTAAATTTTTTGAGGAATTACTTTACAAACAAATCAATGAATACTTCTAAACTATTAAACTGCTCCGCAACACCCAATTTAGTTTTAGAAATTCATATCCAACGGTTGACGCCATCTTTTAATGCATTGATTTCTTCCGCAAATCAATGGATGAAACGAATATGCCGTCTCTTTCTTTCACCCACGAACACTTAAAGAACAAATTGATTGATTTTGGATTTTCTGAATCAGCAATTGAAATGATTCCTAGTTTTACAAACGAAAGACAGCAGAAAACTGTAGTAAATAAAACTGAATCCAATTGAATCTCATTTCATCAAGGCGTACCTCAAGGTACAATTTTGAGACCCCTGACTTTCAACCTATACATAGATGACTTGAACAAAATGTTAACTGAATCTCTCAATACGCAGATGATAGAGTACATTAGGCAGATGATACACTACTATTTTGTGATGATATTGACATCAAAAATGCTCTACAGCTACTGCAAAAATCCTGTCAGAATTTGTCTCTGTACTTCACAAAACTTTCCCTAAAACTCAATACAAAGAAAACTGAGCTGATAGTATTTAGCAAAAAACATCAAGGCAGGAACCCCAATTGAAAGTTCGGTATAATATTAGATTATAATAAAGAGAAAAAAAGCCAGAACTTGAATTTTTGGGGTAATTTCAGCTCAATTTTTAACCTTCCAGAGAGAAGTTAAAACTATATTAAGAAAAATGGCTCGCGGGATCAAAACAATACAATCGATAAAAAACTACTGACAACCAAAAGCCGATTACTATTAGTGAACGCTTTAGTCATAAGCCATCTGCACTACCCAGCAATACTATTAGCCAGTGTGACATCCAATCTAATAATAGCGCTTGATAATCAACTGAGTTGGGCAATAAGACCTGCTGTGACAGAAGAAAATTTGATTCTTCATACGATCTTAAGCTGGATTACAAGGTACTTCCGGTTTACTTGTTTCTTGATTTGAAAAAAGTTTGACATTTATGGAAAATCAAACATAGACTACTACCGGCATACACTAAAATCAAGTATGTGAACAACACAATTGACGAGAACAAAAGAATTAAGAAACTGCACTTTCAAGCAAGATTCAGCAGTCATTATATCGAATTTTTTTTTTGGAAAATCAGTTCTTATTTGGAAACAACTTCAAAGTGCAAGTTCAACATAAACAGCAGCAGTTTACTTTACAAGAATATGAAATTCAACTTTAAGGAATATTTTCTATCTATTTTTCCTGAAGATTTTTTATGGCAACCTATGAAAATACAACATGGAAACTATTTAAATTTATTTGATGTTAATTTCTAACCTTTATTTTATTGTTTTGTAAACAGATATTCAACCCAGAAAAATTTTGTGTTTTATACTTGCTTAATAATATTAATTATCATTTTGCAATTAGGGTGTTCGTTTTTTTAATTTTAAGTTCTACTTGCTGCACTCCTGTTGCATGTTAAGACCCGTATAAGTTGCCTCCCGATTACCGAATCCTGTTTTTGAGCTTGAGTAATCTTGTGTATATTCGTTGATCGAAAAATTAACCAATGATCAACAATAGGCTGATATTAAATAAGTTTTATGCGAGAATGTTAGTCACAATGTGACTGATAGCTTGAAGTGATTGGTAATTTGTTCAATTTCCTAAATAAAACCATCATTTCTTTGGCCTTTGTTTGAAGTGTTTGCTGATTCAGTATGTCTGTCGGCATAGCAATTTTTTAGTAAACCATGTTTCACGCTTCACTTATGCGAAATGGCCGCGTGGCTTTTCGGTCAACGTCTCTTTCTTGTTCAAGAACAGCAGCCGCCGCTCCACAAGCAAAGACTAAGGACACCGCAGCAAAGAAAACAGTAAAGCCTCCCAGAGAAACAAGCTCGTTTGCTCTTGGGATGTTTCAAGGAGTTACCAACATGTCTGAAGTGTTTCCCTTTCCAGATGTTCTCACTGCCGAAGAAAAAGCGGAAACTCGAGAGTTGATGGAGCCAGCAGCAAAATTTTTATCAGAAGTAAATGATGCTGGTAAAAATGACGCCCTTGAAACTGTTCCTGAAGATGTTCTTAATCAAGCGAAAGAGATGGGAATAATGGGCGCATTAGTGCCACCAGAATATGGCGGACTGGGTTTGAAGAATACTCAGTACGCCAAACTTACCGAAGTTGTAGGGGCGAATGATTTGGGCTTTGGCATTGTAACTGGTGCTCATCAAAGCATTGGCTACAAGGGAATATACCTATTCGGCAATGAGCAACAGAAGAAAAAGTACCTGCCAGATTTATGTTCAGGAAAGAAAATGGCCTGTTTTTGTTTGACTGAACCAAGCAGTGGGTCTGACGCTGCCTCAATCAAAACACGTGCTGAGCTATCAGCCGATGGAAAGCACTATGTACTCAATGGCGGCAAAATCTGGATTTCAAATGGTGGTTTCGCCGAAATTTTTACTGTTTTCGCAAAAACGCCAGTCAAAGATGCCACAACAGGTGAAGTGAAAGTACGTTTTAAGTATATCTTAAGTTGACTGCAAGTCCAATGGCATAGTGGTTTTAAGCAATACTGATTGTGTTTAGGACAAGGTCAGTGCGTTTATTGTTGAACGGGCATTTGGAGGTGTAACAAACGGGCCACCAGAAAAGAAGATGGGAATCAAAGCCAGCAATACTGCCGAAGTCAATTTCGACAACGTAAAAGTTCCAGTTGAAAATATTTTGGGCAAGGAAGGCGAAGGTTTCAAAATCGCCATGAATATTTTGAACAATGGCCGATTTGGACTGGCGTCTTCGATGGCGGGAACGATCAAGCACGTGATTGAGAAGGCTTCTGACTGGGCAGCGAATAGAACCCAGTTTGGGAAGAAAATCGGGGAGTTTGGAGTGATCCAAGAGAAGATAGCTAAGATGTCGGTAGACCATTACGTGGCAGAGTCAATGGCGTACATAATCGCGAATAACATGGACAAAGGGATCGTTGAGTTCCAAATTGAAGCTGCGATTGCTAAAGTGTTCTGCAGTGAGGCTGCTTGGAAGGCAACAGATGAGACTATCCAAGTCATGGGAGGTTAGATATAGCGCAAAGCGCACTATATTGAATGATAAGCTTAAAATTTGGCTTCAAACAAGTTTAAAGTTGAATAATTTAAAGAAAATTTGTCGTCGGCGGGTGTATTTTGTTCTAAAATTGTTTTTAAGAGTAGTGAACGTAGTGAAGACTCGTATATAGGTCATGCTGATTTTTTTTTGTTTTTTTTTTGTTTCTCAATAAAAAGTCTTAAAATGTGCATAAAAGTCTCTAATAACTACAGATGTGCATTCATACACATTTGCACTTTTTGAGTTCAATTGAAAATCATCTGCTGTAAGTGACGTAAATAGCACTCTCCAAATATGAAAGTGGAAATGGCGCAAAAAAACGTGAACGATTTCTAGTTTCAAAAGTGGAATTTTATTTTTAGATTTCCAGCGGAATAAAAATTTTACCTGTTGATCCAGTGTTTTCAAGTTGGGTTAATGAAGTACATAATGCTGACACAAGCTTCTGTTCTTTTTGTCCAAAGGTAAATAATGAAAAATGTTCGAATTGGTTTGCATAAAATTGGAAATTAATATACACCCAAATATACTTTAGGAATGGGCTACATGAAAGAAGCAGGAGTCGAGCGAGTGTTGAGAGATCTTCGCATCTTCCGAATCTTCGAAGGCACAAATGACATCCTGCGACTGTTCATCGCACTCACTGGAATCCAACATGCAGCTTCTCATCTCCAGGAACTGCAGAATGCAGTCAAGGATCCAATGAGTAATGTCGGAACTCTCGTGGGCTTCGGTTCCAAAACTCTGATGCAGAAAGTGGGATTCGGACATTTGAATTCAACAATCGAAGCCGTTCATCCCGATTTGAAACTCTCGGGCAAACTGCTGGGAGAAAGTATGGCAGATTTTTCAGGGTATGTTTTGAATGAGTTAACAAATGGCTTGTCCACAGTCAAAATCAGGAATGTTTTTCAGCATACTTCACAAAAACTCGATTATGTGGTGGAGTATTTGTCGTGGACAAAGTTTATGATGCAGGTCTGTAATTAATGTTTTTCACCCTCGCGATAAGCAAGGTTATTGCAATCCGGCACGACTTTTTTTACCCGAAAACAATTTAGTTCACAGAATGGTCATTTTGGTAGGAATGGTAAGTATCACTTCTGACATGCTCAATTTCTTGGAACTCAATTAAAACTACCATCATTTAAGTAGCAGGCTGTTTCTGCTTGTTATTAATTTCTCAGAAGAAAATTTTTCATTTTTTTCGGATTCGTGATTTTCGTCCTTGTTTCTGTCGGTTCATTTTCCGTTTTTTTTAAACGCACGTTTTTTATTTGGTAAGGTTTTGATTGGTTTACTTTTTTAAGCATGGGTTTTTTTTTTTAATTTGAACAGTTTTTTTTACTATTACTGAAAGCTCAGTAATTTGTAAATTTACAAATATTGTTAAAAAAATTTACCATTTTTTAAAAATATTTGAACATTGTTATTTCGGCCTAGATAATTTATTTTGTGTAATTTTGAGGGCAATTTATTTTCGTATAGGATTGATTATGTGCTCCAGTAAAAACTTTAAATGGAATGGGTCGTAAAAACTTTGAAATTTTCAAGAAATTTTTTATGACAAAAGGTTTTGACCTCAAATTTGTCGCCTTTGTAGCCGCTCGGTGAATGGTTTCCTATTGTTTTTAAGGCTGTTTATGAACGTCATCCGATACAAGCGTGAAAGTTTTGTAGCTGCAGTTTTTCCATTTTTTTGAAGTTATATCCAGGAATTTGTAACTTAATTTTTTAGAACTTTTTTTGACTTCTGTCATTTTTCCACTGTAGCGCAATGTGTAGTTTTTTAAGCTAGTTCAATACTGGCTGATGTGTTCTGCCACATGTTTTCATGAAGGTGAGTTTCAGTTTGAATTAAGAAAATCAATCTGCTTCAGGTGTGTCAATACGCTGGTGATGAAATACAAGAAAGACATTGTTCACGAGCAGATGTTACTTTCTCGACTGGCAGACTCCGCCATTGATATTTACGGGATGGCGGTGGTGCTATCGCGATGCACTGACAGCATCAATAAAGGTGTGGCATCGAAGGATTTGGAAGAAATGTACACCAAACTTTTTTGCAACGAAGCAGCACATCGAGTGGCATTGAATGTCAAAGATATCAAGTCGAGTGTTCGAGTCGTGAACAATCATTTGGTGGAAGAAATCGCGAAAGAAGTCATATCTAACAAAGGTGTTGTTCATGCAGGACCGCTGGGTTTTTAAGTTCAAAGAACTTTTGAAAGAGACTTTTTAAGAATTTCGACTGAGGAAGCAATTGTTCCTAGAAAAGTTCTGAAATCCAGGAACATTACTCAGGTGTGCTACTAATTATGTATTAATGTAGATAATAATAAATTTTAAATATCTGTTTTTTTTTCAATATCGAGTGAGATTTACTGAATATGAAAGTGTGAAATTTTTAATATCTGTTTTTTATTCAATGTCGAGTGAGATCTATTGAATATGAAAGTGTGCATCATCAGTGGTAGTGGCCACAAGTATAAATGATCAATTAACTTAAGGAATCGTGAAATTGAACATGTAAGCCTCAAATCTTTGTTTTCAACTGAAGAATCTTATAATCACATCTCCGTAATTGATTTTAAGGTTAAATTATTCAGTTGAAGTAATTTCCAAAAGTAAGTAATCATTTAGAATCAAGAAACACAAGCGATGGCAGAAGAGACCCCAGATGCTAAAACGTTAGTCAAAAAATTCTTCCACGACAAAAACCGTCCCTTTGGGGCCAATGAAGTGATTTTGAGTTTGCAGAAGCAAGTGTCAACAAAATCTCACATTCAGAAAAGCATCGATGCTTTAGGTAAGCGTTTAACTCGAAATGTTACTTCTAATTTTGTGTTTGGCAATTTTCAAGGATGACTTTGCAAAATTTGTAATGCTTTAGCGCTGCATGTTTCCTCAAAAGATTCTAACAATAATCATTTTGTGCCTATTTCTCGCTTGTGGTTGCGAAGTGTTTACTTATTGCTGAATATAAGATCTTAGTTTCTAAACATAATTTTGGTAAAACTGAAGCGAACGAATAGATCGTTTTGTAGCAGCAATTAAGTCTCATCTCGGTTTTTCTATCTATGTGGAAGCATCAAATGCATTATATTGCAAAAATAGTACAATGTTCAGAAAATTGATTATGAAATAGACTTTGATTCAAAAAATGAAAAAAAAAACACATTTTAAGTCGGACATGATTTACTTGGCCGAAATGAATGAGTAATGACATGTGAAAAATTTTTACGCGCTTCCGCAAATTATCATATTGATAACTTGAAATTTATAGCATAACCACTATACAGCCTCTCACATTGAAGAAGTCGATGACCTTGAAAACGTTGATAATTGAGATTGAAGAGTAAGGCGTCTTTTGATGACAAAAAGAGGTCTTTTGTTGGTAAGTTTTGAAAATGCGAATCTAAAAATTGAGTCAATTAGATAAACTATAAATTTGACTGTTTTTGTCCAAAGTTATTTTGAGTATTTTGGTTTTCATTGTTCCGACTTTCGATACGAAAGTAACGGAATATTTGTGCTCGGGGTGGGTTTTTTTTCTTCAGACAAATTTCGACTTTTTAACTAGCCATTTTTGACGGAATTTTTTTATATCATTCGAAAGCTATTGTTGTCCTGAGCTCAAATTTGAAAAGATATTTTACCTGCGATCATTTTTTGTAAAGTTATGGGGGTTTAAAGATTGCCATTTTGGCCAATTTGGGACAATTAGCTCGCGATATATTTCGCGCTATTAAAGCGTAAGCGGAGAGTTAATCCGCCTTAGAAATTGTTCCAAATTGGTTGAAAGAAGCTTATTTGCCATAATTGATTTGTTACAAGGAGCTAAATCTATCCTTTTGTACTTTATATGGCGTGTGGGGTGATGACTTTTATAAAAAAAAATTCAAACTTTAGAAAAAAAATTATTACTGCTCCACCTTAAAAGGCAATCGGAACATTCAAGGCTTTGCCCTGATACGAGCAGTCTTGTTTTTGTTTAAACTTGTATCACTCTTTGAGTTTTAGCAGGTTGAAACTGAGGTGAAAACATCTAGAAATCTATATTGGTTATCTTTCGTTCGTCTTTAGTTTTCAATTAGGTTTAAAAATTTTGAAAAAAAACTTTGAAATAGTCTTTCTGTCGAATTTATTTTACTTGTCGTATGATAATTTTCGTGTTCTGTTTGTTTCAAAACGAATTACTTTGTAGGTTTTCAAAACAAACAGAATTCACGAAAAATATCACAAAAAGAGAAAATAACCCTGAAACGAAATTTTTTTTCAACACTTGATTTCATCTTTTGAACTGAACATGAAAGTCAAACAAAAACATTTAACAACAAACCATCAAAACAGTGCTATTCTGATTTTGTTAAAATCAGCTTTAAATAGCCTCAACAAGATTAGCAACATTAAAAATAGATGCGAGATCTATCAGACCGTAAAATAAATTATTTATGAATAAATTGTCTGCCAAAAATTTTCTGGCATATTTCCATAACTTTACTTCGTTAAGACATCTAATCTTTTCAAAATAGATTTTTAAACCAAAAATTGGCATTAAAAATTTATAAGTTGGCTTAAATAAAAGCTTATGAGTTTGCATAAACGTCACTAAAGCATCGCAATGATTCTACATTATTGTTAATTAACCATTATACGCATCATATTGTCCGCTGGTCCAGAAACATCTTCCTTTGGTAATGAAGGAATTTGGTCTTTGGTAATGAAGGACCAGAAACATCTTCCACGGGGTTTCATTTCTTTATTGCATGCAAATCAGCTGTTCTCAACAGTGGGAGAGTTTTTCCGAAAATGGTACAGTTTCCAAAAGACGACTGCCAAGAAACTTACAAGATACTATGCTTTATCATCTACGGGTTGTTACTCGATTTTAAAGATGATGATTAAAAAGTTTGCAAAAAATTGCTGTTTTTTTTCCAAAATATGTTGAAAAAGTAGGTATCAGAAAAAAAGGTTCAATCAAATACTTCACCTAAAAGAGGAGCTACAGCGGGAACTTAAGCTGAAAAAAGGTCAGTTTAAACAAATTTACTTTGTAAGTATCAGATTAATTATAGTCTGCTTTTACCAAAAATCAAGTATCAGCAGTAGATGAAGTCGAATTGAGAAAGTTTTTAAATTATCCTTCAAGTTATGTGGATATAAATGTCAAATTAGTCTACAAAAGTATACCACGGCTTGATTCGAATGAAACTTACCCATAGAGACAATTTGCAGTTTTTTGTCAGCTAACTAGATTTTGAAATTGGGGTTCAGCCTACTTTGCGATTAAACAGCTCTTTCAATACATTCAAATTGAGATTTGATTTGCTTGATTTTGATTAACTTGTGAGTCCATTCCTTGAATGTAGATCTCAAACAAATTTTGCATAATTAATCCTACTATTTGTATTTGATGAAATTTTTATCATAAAACTTTTGGGTTTCAATTCCACAGTTGTTGTTGAATGAACTGAATGTTTTGGAGATCATCTTCCTGTATACAGGCCTCATAACTTTATTATTCCAAACTTCAGTATCAAAAAGTATTGGAAAATCAATTTTACCTGTGAATTCATTTTAAATTTTTTCAAAATCTATGAAAAAAAACATTAAAATCTATGACAGGTTGAAGAAGACGCAAAAAATGCATTCACATTGAAAATACAATGGTCACTATTTTGTCAAATTTAAATTTGCGCGTCTGTTTTTCTGTTTTCTCTTTGCCAACTCAATCTGGATTTGTTCTTTTACATTTTTTCGTTTGTAGATACAACGGTTTGTTGATTGTCCACTGTATTTGACTGTTCTTTTACAGCAACCAATATCCAGTTTTTATTTCAACTATCTCAGCTACAGCTGTGATACCTCTAGTGATTGTAGCTGTTATACGTTGTCAGTACATTCTTGTCGCGATTGTTCTCAAAAAACTGGATTGCTTCTATCTAGTCAGAACTCTGAATGTTCCGATTAACATTCAAAGTGTTTTTTTTTCGGCTCGAAAATAATAGTTTTTTCTAAAAGAAACATCCCTTTCACGCTAGACTAATCATAAAATGAAAAAAAAATTGTGTCGTCTATTAACGCTGTTTGGATAATTCAGCTCTCCTCATTCCAAATTGGAAAAATGTTTTGAGCGGTTCATTTCACCGCGTACGATGTGCGCAATAATAGAAATCTGGTGCAAACAGATATTTGACAGAAGTGAAAAACTGCAAACTCCCCACAGTTTAACAAAAATATCTTGCTAGTGTTGATTTCAGGGCGCCACTAACTGTCAAATGGTACAAAAATATTACTTTAATTGAAAATTAATATTCTAAAATGCACAGGAGAAAAAAACCTCATGTAGCGCAATTTTTCCGTCACTTTCTTCAAAAGTGGAGCTAGATCTTTTTCAATTGGGATTTCCTCAATTTTTCTGTAGATTTGCGCCAACTCAATCTGTATTTGTTCGTTTTCAAGTCTTTCGAGTGCTTTTGTTAAATTGAAAATTTTATATACAAATGGACAAAAGTGTATTGTTTATTTTAAAAGTTTTTCAACTGCAGCTGTTATGTATTCGACAGTAAAAGGCCAACACGCCAAAATATGTTACCATTCCAATAAGCCGAAAATTGAAACTGTTATGCAGCTTAAGTACAGAATGCCATTTGTAGCGCAATTTTTACATTATTATGGTGTAATTTACGTAAATGTGATGTAAGTTCGGCTTTAACTTATGGGTGTTTGTAGATACGACGGTTTGTTGATTGTCCACTGTATTTGACTTTTTACAGCAATCGAGACCTAATTTTGATTCCAAGCTCTCATCCACAGCTGTGATACTACTCTATATCCCCTAAAATTGTAGCTGTTATACGTTGTTAGTACATTATTGCCGTGATCGTTCAGAAAAAAACTGGATTGCTTGTATCTGGTCAAAACTCTGATTATTCCGATTACCATTCAGAATGTTTTTTTTTCGGCTCGAAAATTTAATAGTTTTTTTTCCAGAAAATAAGATTCAAGCCTTTTACGCCAGGTTAATCGTGAAATGAAAAAAATATGTGTCTATAAACGCTATTTTGGATCAATTAGCTCACCTCAATCCAAATTGGCAAGAGTTCTGAGCGGTTCAAATTGCCGCGTGCGATGTGCGCAGTAATAGAAATCTGGCGCAAACTGATATTTAACAAAAGTCGCAAATTTGAAACATTTTGAGAAAAATTTTGTGTTTGTGTTAATTGCAAGGTGCCACTACCTAACTGTCAAATGGTACAAAAAAGATTCAAAGGGGGAAAAATGTAATTTTTTTTCGAACATGACTTCTATTTTAGTCGAAGAAGGTACACTTAAGGAGAAAGTATATAATAAACAAAAAGTATACGTATACAATCAAGCGCTTTTTCCTGAAGTACAAAAGTCGCAAATCAAAGAACTGGATCTCAGAATTAATGATGCCAAGATAAAACTTCAGGAAATCCAACATAAGGTTAGTGAAAACATTTTCTGAAGATTTAGATTATGTAGCCTCTTTATCCATCTATGTTTTGGCTCGGTTAGAAGAACTGCGGTTGACCTCTTAATAAAATTAAATATTCATGGCCGAATAAACTTGTGCTACCTCAAAATTTTATCTCGAAATTTGTTCGTGCTCAATGTTATTTTGTCGTGTTGACTTTGACATCCTCTCTTCCTCTTAGTTCGCTCGAAAATCTTCTGGAGACTGAATGCAACAAACGCTGTCTCATTTCAGATGCTCAAATGACACGAAAGATGGAGCTTGGCTTTTAATTTCAAAAGTCAGATTTCCCAACAGAACAAAAAAAAATACTCATTGATCGTTTCCCTAAATTGTATTGGTTTATCAAAAAAGTGTGCAATATAAAACGTTTTTGAAGTTCAAAGAGCGCTTTTGTCTTAAACATTTCTTCGATAAAACTTCAAAATTTAAACAAAAAAATTGGTAGTTTTTTCAGTTTTCTTGAGTTCATTAACCTTTTCCAATGTCGTTTATTGGCTGTGATTCCAAGAAAAGCACAATTTTTTTAGGTCAAGCAAAAATCAGCTGAGCTGTCGAAGCTCTCCAGTCTGCCGACGTTGGAAAAAGCAAAGGAAGATTACGAAGAGCTGTGCCGTAAAGAGACCGAATTAAAAGAGAAGATAGACAAAATCAAAGAGAGTGCCGGTGCAATTGAGCCAGAAGTGCGCCAGGCGATTCTGAAGGACCATGAGCTGTACTCTAAGGTAACAAATTAGATATTACATAAGCCAACCGAAAAAACGGAGCTGTTACATAATAATGACGTAAGAGATATGTAGCAGTTACGAAAATCATGTAAGTAACTTCTCAAATGACGTAAGTTTTTGTTGGTTTATATACGCACGAACAAGGTCCCCACAACGCTATAAAGAGCCTATTTTGACAAAATTTTCTGCACCGCAGGCAAATTTTTGAAAAACATGTAAAAAATGTCGTTTTTGGACAGTTTGTGTAAATTTTTGCGCGCTCCCCTTCAAAATTAGTATATATTTGCCCCAAAGGCGCCTTTCGGAAAATTTAAGGGTTGGTCGGCCGATAATGGATTTCATAAAATAATGCAAAAAGAGTTACCTTTTGGCTGGTGAATTGGTCCAATCCCTAAGGAAAATGGACGTCCGACCACCATCCCCGCACCCCATCACAGCCCCCCTTCTCTCTCTAAATCCGTCTCTGCCCACGAACAATTTAAGTTAAAATCACCTACTCTGAATTAAGTTAACATAAAATTGACATAAAAATTTTACTTTAACTGAACTCTATGTGACTCAGTGGCGTAACTACGTCGGGTTGAATTTTCAGGTGACTTACCCGGGTTGAAAAAACTGCTAATCAAACAACTTCCATTTATATAAAAAAACACCAATCAAACAATCTTAGTACAAAATTGCATAAAAGGCCTATGATCAATACTTTTTTTAATATTGAAATTGTAAAACTATAAATTTGTCTTAATTTTCCCAATTTTTTGGACAATACACAAATAAGTATGCCGAAACTACAAAAAAGTTTGGCTGGTTAATACATTTGCAATAAACAAGGATATTGCAATCGGGTACTTGACGTTTCCCCCGTAATTAACTTGGTTCACAGAATGATCAATAGTAGAAATGGTAAATTTAAGTTCGATCAATATTAGAAATAGTAAAATTTAAGTAAATTCATCAAATTTCTTGGCTCAGTTATGTTTTATGTTTACTCGGCTCAGTTGCCCAATTGTAGATTTTTTTTTCTATTCGTAATTAACATTGTATTTGCTTTAAGTGTTCTGGTTTTTTGCTTAAAAACTGTTTCGGCTTTTATCTTATTGGCTTAGTGACAAAGTGTTAAAAATCGTAACAGAAATTATTGCTCAAATACTTCATGACAACAATGTTTTTTCAGCTTTTCTGTTTTCCCCCTTTTTTCGGCTTGACAGCTTTCGGCCTATGTTATGTCGACCTAATGGACTCATATTGCGTCGGCCTTCCACGAGCAAAAAAAATCTGTTTGTGCATGTCTGTGATGTGAGGGCGAGTGGGATTGAATAACTTTTGGTTAGTTTTCAAATTTTTTTTTGTTTTTTTTTCTCTCTTTTTTTTTGGCTTAATAGGTTTTGCCTATATTATATTAGCTTAGTGGCTTCATATCGTTTCATGTGACAATTAAATAAAGTTTTGTGTGTGATTTTTTGAGGGGAGGGGTTTATAATTATAAGTGTTAAGGAGGAAGGCGAATTTGTTTAATTCTTAGGTCTTGTTGATTCTTAGTCTTAGGTCTTGTAGTTCTGAAAGGTCTGTCTGCTAAAAGAAAGTTCTAGTAAAAGGATCAGCCTCCCTCTGCCGGTACGTACATGAGATGATTAAAACAGCAAAACTATCTCAGTTTTCTGGGAAAAGCTAGCACAAGCTTGTTTGCCTGCTTTTGCAGCTCACAATGTTTGAGCTAATTTTTGTAACAACGATTTTGTTTACACTGCTATAAGGAACTCTATCAGCTTTAAACCCTCCCATTTTTTAAAATTTATTGGTTGAGTATCGTCTGTTTTCTGGGACAGATTTAAATTTAGATTGTTCAATGAAAACTTGCAGAGTAAATTTCGTTTCTGAAAATATGTGTATGGACTACGTAACTGTTGGTAAAAGATTTCAAGTATGTTTAAGCTTAGAACTGATTTTGAAGTAAAAACAAGAATTGTTTTTTTTCCACCCTCAATTATGGTATATCCTCAAGATGCGTAAAAGGCCTATGAAATTAATAGGCCTTTTATCCATCATACTGTTTTCATAAAAGATTTTTTTTTATCACACACTCGAGCAGCGTAATGTATTAATACGAACCTTCTTTTCTGGTAACATAACTCGCAAATAAAAATGTTCACTTATTTGGTGGCTTTTTTTGCCATAATCACGATCTGAAGCATTGAAAATTTCATAGCATCGTTCTCTACTTTATATGTGGCTAGTGTTTAGGTTTTATGGAGCGTTAATTGCTGAGTGCCCGGGATGACCAAAAATGTTTATCATACAACTCTCATAAACGGGAAATTTCTTGTCACACAGTTCCATACGTACAGGAAATTGTAAAAACCTCTATAATAAACATTTTTCCACAAATGGAAATTTTATGACTAAAATTTTGCCATAAATGGAAATTGTATGACTAAAAATTTGTTCTGTATGGAAATTGTCTGACAAACAGTTTTCGGAATTTTTTTTTTCAAATTTGGCACAAATTACGATAAAGCCCATCTAATAAGCCGTGCAATCTGTGAAGAGAGAAGAAAACCCGAGGAAAAAAGTTTTTTAGAAGTTGCAACCTCAGTTTCTTAATTTTCTGCAGTAAATTTTCTCAACTCTTTAGAGAGCAGCAAGGTCCTAATCATAATTCAAAGGAGGGGGGATTACTGGAGAGGGGGTTATATCAATATTTTAATAAAAAAAACCTGCATATCTGGGAGAAAATATCCGGCAAATCTCCCCAACATCGTGAATCCACTACTTCTGACATCCACTAATGCATTTTCTATAAAGAAAATTATAACACGTGCGAGAAAACAGTAAATAAATAGACAGAATCGAATATATTATAACGTTGAAGTTGCTTTTCCAAGCTTTTGCTAAAAAACTAATTTCTGAAGAAAAAAGCGTAAAAAAGACAGTTTGATTTGAGTCAGTCGAAATATAGCCAGCTCTAGTCAATTCTGTCGAAATATAGCCATTTTTGGTAGAGTCGATCGAAAGATAGATATTTTCGGTCGAATCGGTCGAAGCATAACTCGAACACATCAACCCGGATCCGACATGATTGTTTGGCCTCGTAACTTCTACGCGTGTCCGATAAGAAACAGTAGCTTTAAAAATTCATGTATATTATTTTTAATTAACTACAGTATAGTTTTAGATGCTTCATTTGATTTTGTGACAGTAGCATTTCAAATTGCTAACTCTTTTGATGGATTGTTTGTTCAATCCATTCTTCGAAGTAGGGCACTTTCATGAAGATGGTTACACCACCTAGACAGTTCTCACTTCCGTAGCCCATTACACCATAGATACACATGGCAAGGTCCTCTTCGTCAATCGGGAACAAGGCCCTCCCCCACTGTCGCCATCCATGTTACCCCCCCCCCCCCAAAGTACATACTTCCATCTCTGAAACGGGTGAATCGAATTATAATGTGAAAGCCAAGACAAATATGTTTAATGATAGTCAACTGGTTGTTCTGGTGTTCTTGATCGTGTAAAGAAACATTTTTAGAAAGCAATACAAATTATAACTGGCACCTGAATTTTTTAATGCCGTCTGAATAACGACTGAAAAAGTGGTAATTTGATAGTTTGATAGTATCTCTGAAGACTATTTTTTTAAGCTGTTTCTCAAAAAACCCATCTTTTTGTGTAGTGCACTATTCTAACACTTGATCTAAATGGCCTTTTGCACATTAACTCTAGAAAAAAATATATATTTTTTTTCGACTGAGAAACTGCTACCAACTATCATTTGAAGTTTCCAATAACCGGTTTTCAAAAAGTTTCCGAAAAAGTTATTTTTTATGGCGAAAAAGCATGTCATACAATTTTCATGGTAAGCATGTTTTTCAAAAAAAAAATTTAAAGCCAGTTTTTTCCGTCAGCAGTCTGTTCAACTGTGCTCAAAATGCGTGTAAAATACACTGTGCTCGAAATCATTGAAAATTTTTTTAAATTGTTTTCTGAAAATGTATGAAAATTGTTTGATAAGCATTTTCTCCATAGTTTTGATGGATGGAATTGTATGACAAGGATTTTTGTTGTATGGAATTGTATGATGAGCATCTTCGGTTTATGGAGGTCAACCCGGGTGGCTAACGCATTGAGGAGGATAATTTTTGCCAGGCCTTTTTTTCGAAACAAAAAGAAATCAGATATCCAATAACAACATCATTTAAGGTGATTCGTATATTTCAGTATACAAAACTCTCAGTCGTGATGCGAATAAAAAATAAAGTTTAACCCACGAACAATTTAAGTTAAAATCACCTACTCTGAATTAAGTTAACATAAAATTGACATAAAAATTTTACTTTAACTGAGCTCTATGTGACTCAGTGGCGTAACTACGTCGGGTTGAATTTTGAGGTGACTTTCCCGGGTTGAAAAAACTGCTAATCAAACAACTTCCATTCATATAAAAAAACACCAATCAAACAATCTTAGTACAAAATTGCATAAAAGGCCTATGATCAAAATTTTTTTTAATATTGAAATTGTAAAACTATAAATTTGTCTTAATTTTCCCAATTTTTTGGACAATACACAAATAATTATGCCGAAACTACAAAAAAGTTTGGCTGATTAATACCTTTGCAATAAACAAGGATATTGCAATCGGGTACTTGACGTTTCCCCCGTAATTAAGTTGGTTCACAGAATGATCAAAATTAGAAATGGTAAATTTAAGTTCGATCAATATTAGAAATGATAAAATTTAAGTAAATTCATCAAATTTCTTGGCTCAGTTATGTTTTATGTTTACTCGGCTCAGTTGCCCAATTGTAGATTTTTTTTCTATTCGTAATTAACATGACAGATTTAAATTTAGATTGTTCAATGAAAACTTGCAGAGTAAATTTCGTTTCTGAAAATATGTGTATGGACTACGTAACTGTTGGTAAAAGATTTCAAGTATGTTTAAGCTTAGAACTGATTTTGAAGTAAAAACAAGAATTGTTTTTTTCCACCCTCAAATATGGTATATCCTCAAGATGCGTAAAAGGCCTATGAAATTAATAGGCCTTTTATCCATCATACTGTTTTCATAAAAGTTTTTTTTTATCACACACTCGAGCAGCGTAATGTATTAATACGAACCTTCTTTTCTGGTAACATGACTCGCAAATAAAAATGTTCACTTATTTGGTGGCTTTTTTTTTGCCATAATCACGATCTGAAGCATTGAAAATTTCATAGCATCGTTCTCTACTTTATATGTGGCTAGTGTTTAGGTTTTATGGAGCGTTAATTGCTGAGTGCCCGGGTTGACCAAAAATGCTTATCATACAATTCTCATAAACGGGAAATTTCTTGTCACACAGTTCCATACGTACAGGAAATTGTAAAAACCTCTATAATAAACATTTTTCCACAAATGGAAATTTTATGACTAAAATTTTTGCCATAAATGGAAATTGTATGACTAAAAATTTGTTCTGTATGGAAATTGTCTGACAAACAGTTTTCGGAATTTTTTTTTCAAATTTGGCACAAATTACGATAAAGCCCATCTAATAAGCCGTGCAATCTGTGAAGAGAGAAGAAAACCCGAGGAAAAAAGTTTTTTAGAAGTTGCAACCTCAGTTTCTTAATTTTCTGCAGTAAATTTTCTCATTTCTTTAGAGAGCAGCAAGGTCCTAATCATAATTCAAAGGAGGGGGGATTACTGGAGAGGGGGTTATATCAATATTTTAATAAAAAAACCTGCATATCTGGGAGAAAATATCCGGTAAATCTCCCCAACATCGTGAATCCACTACTTCTGACATCCACTAATGCATTTTCTACAAAGAAAATTATAACACGTGCGAGAAAACAGTAAATAAATAGACAGAATCGAATATATTATAACGTTGAAGTTGCTTTTCCAAGCTTTTGCTAAAAAACTAATTTCTGAAGAAAAAAGCGTAAAAAAGACAGTTTGATTTGAGTCAGTCGAAATATAGCCAGCTCTAGTCAATTCTGTCGAAATATAGCCATTTTTGGTAGAGTCGATCGAAACATAGATATTTTCGGTCGAATCGGTCGAAGCATAACTCGAACACATCAACCCGGATCCGACATGATTGTTTGGCCTCGTATTTCTACGCGTGTCCGATAAGAAACAGTAGCTTTAAAAATTCATGTATATTATTTTTAATTAACTACAGTATAGTTTTAGATGCTTCATTTGATTTTGTGACAGTAGCATTTCAAATTGCTAACTGTTTTGATGTATTGCTTGTTCAATCCAGTCTTCGAAGTAGGACACCGTCATGAAGATGGTTACACCACCTAGACAGTTCTCACTTCCGTAGCCCATTACACCAGAGATACACATGGCAAGGTCCTCTTCGTCAATCGGGAACAAGGCCCTCCCCCACTGTCGCCATCCATGTTTTTCACCCCCCCCCCCCCCCAAAGTACATACTTCCATCTCTGAAACGGCTGAACCGAATTATAATGTGAAAGCCAAGACAAATATGTTTAATGATAGTCAACTGGTTGTTCTGATGTTCTTGATCGTGTAAAGAAACATTTTTAGAAAGCAATACAAATTATAACTGACACCTGAATTTTTTAATGCCGTCTGAATAACGACTGAAAAAGTGGTAATTTGATAGTATCTCTGAAGACTATTTTTTAAGCTGTTTCTCAAAAAACCCATCTTTTTGTGTAGTGCACTATGCTAACACTTGATCTAATTGGCCTTTCGCACGTTAACTCTAGAAAGATCAAAAATTTGGAGTGAGAATTGTATTTTGGTAATTGAAACTTTCAATTGGTCAATTATTTTACGCTTTGAAAAAGTCAAGAACGGTATTTTTATGCAAGGGCATAAAAATATATATATTTTTTCAAATTATTTTTTTTTGGATTCAATGGCAATTTGCTCGCATTTTTCGACTGAGAAACTGCTACCAACTCATTTGAAGTTTCCAATTTCAAAAAGTTTCCGAAAAAGTTATTTTTTATGGCGAAAAAGCATGTCATACAATTTTCATATATGGAAATTGTATGGTAAGCATGTTTTTCAAAAAAAAATTTAAAGCCAGTTTTTTCCGTCAGCAGTCTGTTCAACTGTGCTCAAAAAGCGTGTAAAATACACTGTGCTCGAAATCATTTATAGTTTTTTTCAATTGTTTTTTGAAAATGTATGAGAATTGTATGATAAGCATTTTCTCCATAGTTTTGATTGATGGAATTGTATGACAAGGTTTTTTGTTGAATGGAATTGTATGATGAGCATCTTCGGTTTATGGAGGTCAACCCGGGTGGCTAATGCGTGAGACTTATATTCTCTAGGGCACTGATCGAATCTGAGACGCACCAGGTTTTTTTTTTTAAATTGCGCCGTATGTTCACTTTTTTTTCTTATTGAGGCGTATAAAATAAAAGACCCGCTAGCGCCTTAATTTAAAACCAATTCAATATTGTGACATTCCAGGAGGCGAGAAAGAGAAAGCGATGGTGCAACGATCTACTGGACATGATTTTGGAGGGATACCCTTCCACAAAGGATCAGCTGATGGAAGAAATAGGGATCGAACCGTTCTGAGAATCCTTGAAGAAAAAGGATCATAAGTTTGTTTTATTTACAAATCACGTTGAACTACAATGCCAAAGTTATTTCAATATCGGAATTAAAAATGTATTTTGTCCAAGTCTCATTTAATATAAAAAAGTTTCATCAGCTATATCAATTAGTTAAGCAAATTCGTTGGCAGCTTGAAATACATGGCTTGGAAAACTAACATTATTGTTTCGAAAACGCGATGAGTAGGATAGTTTGGCCAGGATTTTTTCCGAAAAAAAAAGAAATCAGATACTCAATAACAACATCATTCAAAGTGATTCATTTATTTCAGCATACAAAACTCTCAGCCGTGATTCGAATAACAAATATAGTTTTTCTGAAAGTTAGACAGCAGCAGTTATTTTCAAACTATTTTATCTGAACAAATTTAATTTTTTTCCTTATATCATTTTTGCTCTTATGGTGATATATTACAACAAGTTGTAGTTTTTTTTTATTTATACGTGTCATACCGCTACTGCAGTAGCAGTACTCACTATACGGATGTACAGCCAACCTCTGGTGTTAAATCATTATTTTATGGTACGCTCAAGGTCATACATAAGTGATGACACTGAGACTAAGTGAGAGATCAGAGTACTTAACAACGATCTATCTCTCAGTACATAAGAAAACAAAGAAAAGAGAAAATCTAAATTCAATCTTCTGAATAAAGTATTGAATTCCAACTTGTTTTCAATTTGATATCGCAACGCATATCACATGGCGCAGCCAGCAGGATTCGCAGCTCAAGACAACAGAACGGATATGGGAATCCCGGTATTTTGGGCATCAGCGAATTTAGACCCTCCGTGGCAATTTAAAATTTGGTTCGAACAATTTCTCATGGCGGTTACGGTAAAAGAAAATGTGAACCCAGAGATTATTTTGGAAGAACCAAAAGACATATTAGAGGAACCACCACCACGCCCGGAAACGCCCAGGGATGGGGAGAACGAAGATGCGAGGAACGCTAGAATCCTTAGAGATAAACTAGCAAGAGACAGAGTAGCATTGGAGAACGAAGAGAAAAGAACAAGAGGCCCAAGAGTTGGACACAATGTCTTCTACAACGAAGTACAAAAGAAACTGGTGTCACGACTATTTCTATCTTTGGGCACTGAGGGAAAGAAAAGATTCCTACAAAAGAATCCGCACGCAGAAATATCAAAAATGACGTTCAGAGAAGTAACAGATCTGGCAGAAGTCTCGTTTCAAAAAGTGAAATGTGTAACCTACGAGAGATACAAGTTATTTACGAGAATGCAAGAATCTGGAGAATCTCTAGAATCATTTCACGCAGCGTTAACTGCTCAAGCAGCCAGATCAGAACTAGGAACATTGGAAAATGAAATAGTGCGAGACTTGTTCATCTCGAAGATGAAGAAGATGACATTACAGGATACGTTGACATTCGAAACTCTGGATCCAGTGGAAGTTCTAAAAAGAGCTATAAAATTCGAACATAGCAAGTTAACCACAATGGCATTTCAAAAGACTAATGCAGCGGCTGCAGGAGGATCAAGTAGCAATTACACATCGGGTGTAAGAATAAAACAGGAACCTGTAATGGCAGTACGAAATTTGGGGGGGAAAACCAAAACTCCAAATAGAAGAGAAAATAATAACAGACAGAATAATAACAAAAATCAAAACACGAAAACGAAACCATGTAATAGATGTGGAAGGATGTTTGAACAAGGACACCTAATAAACTGTCCAGCGATGGGAAAGGACTGTAAAAACTGTGGTAAACCGAATCATTTTGCTAAAATGTGCAGATCACAACAAGTAAGTGAAATTGCGGAAGATTCGGAAGAATCGATAGTGGAATGCGACCAGATCAGTGAAGGTGTTGGGTCATGTAGTGAATTTGAAGTCATGTTGATACATACCCACTTACCGGAAAATGAACGAGTTTCAAAATATGTGAAAGATCGAATCAATGAAATGAGAAAAGAAACAAACGGAAAAGTGGTTAGAGTTCAGAAAATAGACTCTATTCGAGATCCAACATTGAACCGCGTAAAGTCACTAAAAGCTATGGTACGAATAGATAACCAGATTATTCAACTAACAGTGGATACTGGTAGTCCTGTTTCATTTCTTAACTGGGCAACGACGAAAGAAATCATGGAAAAATCAAACAAAGTGAGATTCATACCGTCCGACAAATTGAACTTACAAACCAAATTTGTGGACTACAACAAACAACCGATCAGTATCCTGGGAGCCCTAAAAACCAATCTGAGGTCAGCGGGCTGGGAAGTTAAGGGCGCAACCTTTCTGGTATCAGAGCGAAAAACTAGATGCATCATGGGATTAGACTTGCAAGGACAAGTGGGAATAGTGACTACACAAAGAACAGCGCCAAAAGAACTCACCAGGTTTGACGTGCTCATGTGCGAGCAGTCGGAAGGTTGGAAAGAAAAATTTTTCAATAAATTTAAGAACTTATTTGAAAGGCAAGGCATTTCTAAAAACCACATCGCCAGTTCAAAATTCAAATACCCACTATGTCCGATACAAGAAAAGGGGAGAAGAATCCCAATTCATATACAAGATAAAGTCGAAAAAGAAATCGAGAAGTTATTGACAGAAGGTCAAATAACAAAACTTGATAAGTGTACAAGTGATTGCTTTATCGCCCCGATTGTGATAACAGTAAAGAAGAACGACTCAATAAAATTGGCAATGGACGCGAAACCAATCAATAGACAATTGTTTAAAAACAAATACCAAATGCCGAATGTAGACGAACTTATTGATGGGGTAAGCCAGATTGTAACTGAAAACAAAAAGGGTACGCTATATTTTTCGGTGTTAGATTTGAAATATGCGTACAGTTAACTAAAATTGGCTGCGGATACAGCTAGGCAATGTAATTTTAACATTGTGGGCGGAAAAGCAACCGGAACTTACAGATTCTTGACAGGATTCTACGGACTAGCAGATATGCCAGCTGAATTTCAAAAGGCTATGGATAGAACCATCAATCATGCTAAAAACACATTCTGTTTCTTGGATGACATACTTATTGTGTCAAAGGGAAGTGAAACCGAACATGCCAACCTAGTAGAAGCAGTATTAAAGAAATTGGATGCGGAAAATTTGGCACTGAAACTATCAAAATGTGAATTTTTTAAACAAGAAGTGAATTGGTTGGGTCATCATCTCTCAGAAGAAGGAGTTAGACCGAAGATCACTAAAACGGAAGCGGTAGTAAAGTTGAACCCGCCGAAATCCTTAAAACAACTAAGGTCATTTCTAGGAAGCATAAATCATCTCGCTAAATTTATACCTAACGTAGCAAGTCTGACAGAAAAATTAAGACCTCTTCTTAAAGAAGAAAATCAAAAGAAAAAGTTAAAATACATGAAACTCCCGGTGAAAAAATTCGAGTGGGGGGATGTTCACACAGAAGCATTTAATGCTATAAAAGGAGCTGTGGCAAATATTACGAAAGTGCATTATTATGATGCAAATCGACAAACACGAGTTAAATGCGATGCTAGCCATGGTGGACTAGGGTCCACTTTAGAACAACAAAATGATGAAGGGTTGTGGGTCCCAATTTCGTTCGCATCTCGATACCTAAATGCTCAAGAAAAAAAATATTTAACAAATGAGTTGGAACTATTGGCAGTTGTTTGGGCAGTAGACAGATATAAACACTATCTTCTGGGGAAACCATTTACCATCGCAACTGACCATAAAGCTCTTACAACAGCATTGGAGGTTAATCAATCAAACAAGACCTATCAGTCACGCTTAACCCGGTGGGTTGACCGGTTACTGCCGTATCAGTTCAACATAGTTCACATTCCGGGGAGGGACATGGGCATAGTTGATTATTTATCGCGTGATCCTTTCAATGATCCCTGGCCCGAATCAGAATTAGACGAAAAGTTTGTAGTAGCTACGATAAACTCCTTTCATGAAGCGTTCGACTGCTGGAACAGTAGGCTTAAAGATTCAAGTTCGCTCAACCGGAACGAAAACGTTCTAGAATGTTCTAGAAGGAATGTTAGGAAACAGTCATCAAGTAATGGTTGCTATAGCAACCAAAACGGTCAAAACCGAACAAAGCTCGACCGGAACGAGAGAAAAAAGTTTCCACGACTGCAAAAACAGCTAAACACAACAGTTCAACAGAAACAAATCACTTTTTCGTCAAATCAACCCAGCAAACAGTCAGTCTCAAAAAATTGCAAAATAAAAAAACGACCAGTACCGGAAAAAATAGAAAAAACAGACTCAAGAATCGAGATGTCAGAAAATACAAACAAAACATACGACTGGTGGTCCAGCTCACCACAAGATTGGCGGAATGAGGAGCGTGAAGAAAGCTTAATGGACCCAAAGTGGAACCGATCATTTTCCACCAACAACGAACTCTCGGGAGAAGAGGAAATCACAGAGACAGTACAACGTACAAGGAAGATTATACGAGGAGGAAGAAAAAATAGGGACAGCTCAGACAGCGAAACACGTCAACAACAACGAGTAAAATGGTCGCTGGAACCGGAACAACAACGAATAGCGGACCAAAGACTGCTCTCTTTCTGGCAATTAATAGGCGGAGAAAACAATGTTCAGGAAAATCGAGAACTGGTGGCCGATACTCAAGAAGTCAGAGAAAATCTGGAAGACGAATTCAATCCAACATCGTCAAAACCGATCGCATCGACAGAACGAAAACTCAGTGAGGTGAACGTAATAGAAGTCGACCTAACAACCACAGAAGAGGCGGAGAGTGAGGAGGAAGTGTGCTCAATCCAACCGCCAAAGGGTCTAGGAAAATTAAGGCTGCAAAAGCAGCAACAAGTAGAGACTCTGGACAACCTCGCAAAACTGTTCGACAAAAACTTACTAGCAGAACTGACCACAGAAGACACGTGGATGGACCGCCTCAGGAGAGTGATAGAGAAAGGGGACAAACAAGGATTCGAACTGATGGGACCCTATACAAATCCGTTGTGGTCGCAGATGGCAGTTCAGGACGACTGCATCTTGGTGAATAATCGGCTAGCAGTACCAGTT